ACAAGGTCCCTTCCGACCCGACTTCTATGATTCTATGAATCTATGCTGCCAGGGCTGCGCTCTGCCTCCTGCTGCCAGGCTGAGCTTCATGGGGCTGAGGAGTCACTCGGAGCACAGCCCAGTGGGGGGAGGCAGGGAGAGCCAGGGCTGTGCTATGCCTGTATTTAAAACTGACCAACAATTTCTGCTGCAAGACTTTCTTCAGGTGCTCAAGTTACAGCAGGTTTACAGTTGTTTTGGCTGAAATTTTCCATGCTAAGTATCTGCCTCAGGCTAAATTATTTTTGAGAGCTTCAGTTTAACTCTATCTTGGGACAGATTTGGGAAAAATACTTTGTTTTACCTTATTTAAAAAAAATTCATCCTGTAGGTTCATTAAGAAGCACTAAACCCTTTTATGCTTTTGGAACAGGGGCTTGACATTTGTCAGGGATATTAATCTGGTATTAAGAATGAGCCTTTTACTGTCTCTGTGGAAAATCTTCCTATGTTTTGCCAAGTTATAAGCTTAGGAAAAATCTCAGTTTCTGCGCATCCATAGAGACCTGAATAGTGCAGCTAAATTCTCTGAAGAGTCCATTTCTATAGAGCATGCTCAATTCCACACAGTTCCTACATGTCATCCAGATTTGTTTATATGCCATTGCCACAGAATGACTGAGTTGCCTTCTCCTGTCTTGTTTTCTCTAGATCTTGAAGAGCTTTGAAAGCTTTTTGATTCCTCAGCTGTCAAGCTCACCACCAGATGTTGAGGCAATGAGAATCTATTTGATTCTACCTGAATTCCCGCCATTTCAAGACTCAAAGTATTATATAACATTAACGCTTCCTCTAGCAATGGCCATTCTGCGTCTGGATACAAACCCGAGCAAAGTTTTAGGTAAGGAGCCAACACAGTGGGTGCAACTTGCGTATCTTGCTGTCTGCACCCGCCTGGGTCACTGGTGCAGAGACCATTAAGGACACGTAGACTTGGGATTCTTCACAAGTTCTCCACATTGATCTAATTGCTCTCTGGTTGTGTTACCTGTGCCTTTGCCAGTAGCAGAGTAAGGCTGACAGTGTGGCTAGTAAGTTTCCAGTAATATATTTGGTTCTCAAAGCAGACTTCCTTCCTTCGGAGTGGTTTTAGTGCCTGCTGTGCCTCCTCTATGTATCAGAAGTCTAAAGTACTTGTGAATGCATAGAACTGTAAAGAGCTCTTATGCTGTTTCCTGCCAGCATTTATTTCTATAATGAAACTTCTGGGGAGTGAGTCCCGTGCTCGTGGTAGTTAGTATTAGTTACAAATAACATTTTGTTTTCTCTCGTGCTTCTGTGCCCACGTTCTGATTTGGAGACAGGTTGGTTCTAGGGCAGGAGCTGGCAACATTTTTTCAGTCAAGAGGGCAGTAGTGGCATTGACACAGGTCCCCAGCCCTGGTGCATCTCCTCACTGCTTGGCCCCAGCACAGCCAAAGCCCTATGGCTCCTGAGGCCAGATCTGGTCCACGGGAGGCATGTTGCTGACCCCTCTTCTAGGGGATGCTACTCTAGTGCTCCTAGTTGAAGCTGATAAGTTAATATTCAGCAGAGGGAAGGCTAAGTTTATTTCCCTTGGCAAGAGGAGAGATTCCCTTCCAAAAGGAGCAGAAGAGGCAGAGTCTTGTAGAAGAATGGTGCAGTATAGAAAGTGCAGGAGAGAGGAAGGCGTGAGCATTTCTTAGCCTGTCACAAAGGCATGATGAATTCTCAGGATACAGTGCCCTGTAAATAATTGATGCAAACTCAACCACCGGCTGCAAGCATGGATGGAGGAGGGAACATTTTAATGCACTTTACTTAAGGGTAAGGGCAAGGTAGGAGCAATGGAACCTCCAGGTGTCTCCATGTTCAACGCTTTGCTTAGGGCTGATTTCTTCTTTTCCTCCTGCCTTGCCTTCTACTGCCTGGAAGTCAGTGGTGAGGGAAGTAGAGAGAGGGTTTCTGGGAAGATAAATAAACCATTTTAGTTGTATCTAAATACCTAGTGGAGGAAATAGAAATAAGGGTGCGATCATTATTCAACATAGTGAATGTTCTTCATTGTAATAATCTAGGGTGGTGATAGATAGAAACCATTTAATCAAGTGCCGCATTAAAAAGAGTCTCATGCCATGATGGCTTGTGTAAGGTGCAGTGCAGTCGAGTTGGGCTTCAACACTCCTTTAGCACAGTGGTCCTCAACCTTGTTAGTTCAAGGCACCTGCTGGAAAATGCCAGCTGTTAGTTTTCATTCCATTTTAGATTGTGGAACAATAACAGAGCAATTTTTCTTTTGCCAAGGACTCAGAAAGATCACAACAGGTCAAAATGTTTTTGGCACTATTAATTCCTATTTCAGATCTCTGGGTTTACTTGTGAGTCACTTTTGGACACCTAATAGCGCTACTGTTGTGTGGCACCTCATTAAATGCTTGAAAGGATTTCAAGGCACCCCAGGGTGCTGCAGTATCCTGGTTGAGAATCACTGCTTTAGCATGCTGAGCTAATGGGGAATGCTTCCCCATCTCATCTGGTTTAAAAGGTATGGGGTTTTCCCTGGCACTGGCCTTTTATAGAAGTAGTTCCCATTTCTTTTAAATAACCATGCACAGACAGCTCCAGACAACACTAAGTATTACCTCTGTCTCTGCAGTAAGGGGGCTGTCTTACCATTGCCCTGTGTACTTCCAGTTTACCACATGTACTCCACTTTGCAAAAATGTTAGTAGAACTGAGACTCAGATCGCTGCATTGGTTTGTGTGGGAGTAGGTGTCATTGTTTACATGTGGAGATGATGCATAGCAGTTGCAGGAGCAGTGTTTTAGAGCCATACTTTTCTGAAAACCCAGTTCTCACAGGTGTGGTACTTGTGATGTCGCATGGGAGAGAGAGATGTTTTGAGAAAAACATAAAATTTTCTCTGTATAATATAGTACAACCTCCAGAAGGAGGTTGCCTCAGGTCCTTACTGGTCCATTGGTCTATGCCTGTTCTTCAGACTATGACTAGTAAACTGGAATAGAAATGGTGTCTGAGTGGTTTTAGGGGAAAAGAAATGAACTTTCCCCCTGTTTTTCCACTAAAGGAATCCCTGCTGAATGTCACCAAAAGTTGCATGCATTTTGGTGCTGTTTGTGCTTACTGTTTGCATGTGATGTGTTGTAGATCTCCTTTAGAGAAAGTCTGAGTGGCCTGCATTTAAAACAGGGTGACGAGATCATATCTAGTGTCCCAGTGCTTTTCTTTATATTCCCTAACTAAAAAATGCTCACTACCAATGAGTGCTCTAACAATTTTACAGATATTTTAACATGTATTTTTTGTGTATTTCTAGATAATTGGTGGTCTCAGGTGTGCCCAAGATATTTCTTGAGGTTAGTGGACCTCTATAAAGGTGCAGTCGTTTACCTCCTCAGTGGACGAAAGACATTACTGATCCCCGTCCTTTTCAGTAGCTACATTACAGCTGCTCTCAGACTGCTGGAGAAGCTGCACAAGGTAAGAGGAAAGCTTGTATGATGTTGGAACACAGGAATGTCCTAGTCTAGTTGTTCTCCCATCTTTTCTGCACCAAGCTGTACCTCCACCCTTACCAATATCAGAAAGGCAGCATGGTCACTTTGCCTTTTTACAACCTCAGGTATGAAAGACTATGTGGTACTCATCCACCATTTATAATTGCAACCAAGGCAAGAGAGTGGATGGTCAGACTTGCACTGAACTGGAGACCAACTCATTAAACTCGCTTAACTTTGTCCCAAAAAATGGCATAACAACCATGCTTCTGTAGAGCATCCTACCAGGGACACTGCACAACATTATACTCCAAAAGACAATTCCAGTCTCTCTTTCCTTATCCTTTTCATTACTGTTCTTAAGAAAGAGTCAATATGAAAGATCAAATTTTCATGTACATAAAAACACAAACTACAGATTCTTGATTGCATTTTTAAATCTGTCCCTGTATATTGTAATTAATGGTGTACATAAATTGGAGGTGAACTAAAATTTAAAACGCCTAGTGGGGTTTGTTCAGTTACTTTAGCTCAGTCCTGTAAGTTGCTGTACATGAAGCATAGATGAGTATTTTGGTATGGAGTCTCGGGGGGGGATGGGATGGGATGGGGTGGGACCCGGGGGGAACGGGGGTGACACACATGGACACAAGCCTGTGTTTAGAAGGTGCAGATGAGCTGAAATTTTTAATTTCCTTTCTTAATTAGGTAAATCAGAAAGTCAGACATGTGGAATATGACAAGTTTTATATCCCAGAGATTTCTAGCTTGGTGGACATTCAGGAAGACTATCTCATGTGGTTCTTGCATCAAGCAGGAATGGTAAGAGGGCTCAATATGGTAGTCATGAAACTGCTGTCCCTGGTTAGTGCTAGTGATCTAAATGTTCAGATTCCTAATCATAATAAATGTGACAAACATGGGAGCATGTGTGGACAAGTTCTCTTTGATTTCCATACTTGCTGGCTTGATGATAACTTAAAATAATGCTCTCAGAAGAGAAAAACTGCTAAAATATAACTAATGCCCCAAACCATCTCTGTGAGCCACTTAATATCTCTGGGATATGGTATTATGCCTTCTACTTCATTCAGTCACTTTGTCTTGGTCCTTTTAATTTCGTCAGAACCTCAGGAACCAAACTGTATATTCCATTGACACAATTTCTGCATCAAGACAGGTGATATGAACACTGGTCAGTGGTCTGACAGTGCTGGTGTCTAAGTTTAGGCTATTGGGCCCATTGGTTAATGGCTGAACTGGAACTTTTGAGAGATTTATGTTCTATTCCATGCTGTTCTAGTAACCTGTTAGGGCGCGTCCAGGCGAGCCCGCACTTGCCTGTTGCCACATCTCAAAGCTGTTTGAGACATGGTAAGAGGCACGCTGGGAAAAAAAAATGTTCCCCATGCTGCATATTTGCAGCATGGGCTCAAAATTTGATATAGGCTGCAGATCCGGGAGGAGCTGCGCAGGGTTATTTTGCTCCAAGTGGCACAACCT